TCGTAACTAAGGCCGCTCTCTCGGCGTTTTGACACAGTGACAATGTGCTCTTCATCTGACGTATTTTTCGGTGACGATTTCAATCACAATCAGTGGAACAGCAAATGCGAAGACACTTGTCATACTGGCATTGGTTATTCTGGCAATTCAGAGAAGGTATGTACCGAACTATTATTAGGGTGTTCTGGTTTTTTTTTACTGGTGTTTATCATTACTCTACCGGTCTCAGCAATAGTCGCCGCTTAACACATTAGTCACTGTGACAAAAATAAATTGGCGCAGATGTCGGTCTTACAGTAGGGTTAGCTGTTTGTTATTGGAAATCCAGTTGTGAATGAATACGTGTATTTATATATAAGTTAATGTGTGAACGTAACTTGGTCGCTGACTGACTTTTAGCATGTATGTTCCAGATGAATCAGTGAGTACACACGAAATCAGAATCAAGGATCCGTAGCTACTAGTCGAGTCATGTATCATCTGATTTTGCAACGTCAAGTTGGGACGTTGTATATCACAACTGATAATGGTACAGACGGATTCATTCGTTATTTCCCATTAGATCTTGATTTTCAGGATTTCTTGCTGAACACCCTGTCATTGTTTTTCTAAACTGTATTCGCACTATCGTTACTACTTTTATTATTGTGCCCCCTTTGTTGTTCATCTTAGTTTCAACTCGTGTTGACTTCACCCGATTGTTTGATATCGGATTGTGATGCTTCTCAATGAATTCATTGTACAAGTGTGTGGATGCTGTTTGTGAAATCCGTAATTTCCTACCACAGAGCACATCGAGTTGTTTGCAGTGTACGGAGTAATTTGCTTTGGTAATTAACTAGTACTAACCACATTCGGTGTTGATTTACTGTGCCGGTAAGAACCTCTTTGTTTATGCGCTGGTTCTTTTTGATTTCACTAATTTAATTGGAACACTTGAAACTTTAGCTGAATATGTGAAAACCCAATACCTTGTTTATTGAAATTTGTGCCATCCATACCTAATTTGTAAGTCTTTTGAACGATCTCTTTTTAAGGGTGACATCCGGCAAGTTAAGTGAGAAGGCTACAGGAATAGGTGAATTGGTGTCCAAGATTACTAAGCAATAGGAATAGCTGGGTCGTGATAAGAGAGAATTATAACATTTCCATAGTGTTCAATTTAATCAAGATGATATAATCGATATTGTGATATTCCGTAGGTTGAGGATCTTGATGTGATGATATTGCGGTAACGGTCACAATGTTGAGCTAAGCAAATATTTATTGTACTAGATTTATTTAATCTTCATGTCTAATGTAAAAGTTGAGAGCAATCGGTAAATGTTTGGGTATACAGTTAACATGTAAAATGAATAACTAGATAGAGAATTTTTATTCTCACCAATACTTACGCATATTGAAGCCCTGAATTTCAGCGAAGAAGCAACCGTTTCATTTTTTATCTCTATTATTTTTTGTCTGTTGCACCAGGTGATTTTTGTTTTGATTTGTGCGATCCATTTATCATACTGTTCTATTGTGCAGCGTGGATTATTTTTTAAATTTATAATATGATTGAATCGTAATAATATTTGACGATTGTAGCTTTTATTTTTGAGAAAACTTTATTTTGTTATCATTACTATTTGACTGTTTGTTTATGCCAGCCATTTGAGTCTGAATTGGAGGCTATGAATAATGGTGACTTGACTTCAATCGGAAATGTAGAATTACAATTAGCTGCTTGCAATCGAATTGTTTCTCTGTTATGTAATTGTCTTTCAACAGATCATTTTCAACTAGTACAATTATTAAATAATTTGAACCAGTGTGGCGATCCAGTTTCTGTTATTTTGTCAACTTTATCCCAACTTAATCCACATCCTAGTGTTTTAGACATATGTTCTAATGTAACATCAACACATAGTCACTGAAAAGTTATTCAGTCTCTCGTGTTATCCCGTGAACAAGATGTCTCAGATAATTTGAAAATGTATGTCTATCCATGGTTCGCGTACACTATTCGGTTTTGCATTTACAACTTCCTAGCCTCCCCTAATTATGTGACTCGCGTTGCAGACTAAGAAGCGTGTGTATCTGTATCTGAATCGGATGTCCTCAGAACGTGAAGGTGAGGTAGTACAATAATCCTCGATTTAAAATAATACGACGAGTGGTTGGGATTAGAGATGCATCAGAGATCAGAAACACGTGGAATGAATTATGAAGCAATGTGGTTATTCCTGATGAGAAGTGATAGTCATTAGTTTAATGTCTTTAATTTTGGCTCCTAAAACTAGTGTTTAATGCAAGAGAACTCTACTGCCAGAAGTTGTTATGTATTCAGAGTCATTCGCTGTTCACCCTTACGAAATTCTTCATGTCACCTGAGTATGGGATGCATCGTATTGGTGACAAATTTATGTTTAATCGTTATGTATACATTTGTCATTTTATTCATAAAATATTTTGATTCATTGAGTTTATAAATCATTTCTCACTATTTCATTTTTAGTTATTAAAATATGGACTGGTTAATCCAAGGAATGTTCTCAATCGCACACTGAGACATTCTAGTTTTTCTGAATCCGATGAACCAACGAAGTGTGAATTACAAGAGGCTTTATTGAATGCAGTTGGTCAACTGGATCGTTTAAGAAAACACCGTATAAATCAAAAAACACGTATTGATAAATTACAAGAACGATTAGATCATATGGGTACTGAACTGGATTCCAGTGTAGATACTATTCGTCATCATCAAAGAAATTATGAAGCACAAAAACGTAGAACTACTATGGAGATTACTCATTTACGTAATCAATTAGCTAAAGCAACTGCTTTATTAGAACAGTTGAAATTGTTCTTCAGTAAAACAAATGTGAACACTAGTTCTTTGGACCACAATATGCGAGGTTTGTGCTTTATAAGATTTAAATGTGTTGTAATTTGTTTGTGTCTAGTGACTGATTTGATCTCACGCCTATCTGTCTCTTGCTTTTCAATTGTTAGTTTATTGTGTTAATCTCTTATCGTTAGTTTAATGATATGAAACGTTTATTATAGTGTTTCCTTACCGACAGATAAGTAATCTAAGTTGTGTCGTCTTACTCATAAGAGAGCTTGTATTCTTCTGTGTGTTTTTGTAATAATTTTGTCAAGTTTATTCTTTTACACTAATGATTCCTCCGTCACGCGTTTTATTAACTCTTTTTATTTGAGCATTTTGAAATTATTGCTTACTGGAACTGTCCCAGTGCGTTGATGTGACACACTTAGGGGTTAAAGCAAGGAATAAAAGAAACTGAATAACTATATGTTACTCCATGTATTGGGTTTTAAGTCATGCACTATAGACACTCACGAAATTGTGTTTCGATATACAGTTGCAGATGTATTTAAATACAACCATATGTAATTTCTGAAAAACCAATTATTATGTAAATTCGACGAGATGATAATATTTTGTATTTCAAACAATGCGTTGTAGTACTCAATAAATGATCTATCAACAGTTTGTATTTGCTAATGCGATCACCTCTTTTGATCTTAATTATTTGGACAAATATATTGGCTGATTAAGCTGAGAATTCGCTTGGAAGTTCAGACGTATGGTACGAAATAAAGCAATTATTATCATCTTTATGAATGATGTATTTCTCCCTTAGATGTAATTTCAAAACTATGCTTCATCTCTCCTAGGTTTTCATATTATGCAACTAGAGCGTTGACACCATAGTTGATTAAGTACTCGACTATTTGCTTTATATTTCCATAGGACAGTCTGAAATACTGATGAAGTAAGTTTAATCGATCCTGTAGGTATCTTATCAGTCACAAATTATTAAATATGCTAAAATCCTTTCAATATCAAATGATGAATAAGCTACCTCCTGGTAGACAAAGAATTTAATCATTTTAATCACTCCATACTACCGTATGTTTGATAAATAGTGTTTTCCGTTTTATTGCTCTGATATCATTATATCATTCTGTTTGTTGGTGATTATGATATAATCAGAAGGAGTTTTGTGGAGATTGTAGTAATTTCAATGATTAAGATCATGAGTCAGTTGAAGTTAGACCACCATGGAAAACCTGGGAGCACTGTTCAGCCGTTTCGTCCCATTATGGGACTCCTCAGCAGTGCGCACCCACGACCTCGCCCCCTGCGAGATTCGAACCCAGGACCTACTGGTTTCGCGCGCGAGCACTTAACCACTAGACCACTGATTCACCAGGTTCTTGGGTATGAGCCATACTCAAAGTGTAAGAACTAATGATAATACTCGTTCGCCCAAACGGAAATAGATGTAGTGGGATTCAAACCTGGTCAAGTGTGACTCCGTTTTCATTCATTTCATTATTCGATTTACAATCTCTCTACTTCGTATATGATACCGATATAAGAGATAAGTGTAAATAAGTAAAACTTTCAATAATGTGAGTATTATTATTTTTACATTTACTTCATAGTTGTGATTGAGAATTTACTAAGAAATGTACACACAAATAATGAACTGCAAGATGTAGATACTTTAAGTATCGACGATTTAAAACTGAGATTATCTATTGCTCAAAATGAGCTTACTCAATTGCGATTAGATATGGCACGTCAAAGAGAAGATGATGATCGTGAGGCATCAAGACTTCGGGGTCAGTTAGCTGAAGCAAATTCAAATGCAAGAGCTTTACGGATGCAGTTAAATCGCCTTATACCACAAAGCATTTCTTCAAGCAAACTTAATAGTTTGGTGAATACAAACTCATCTGATTCCTCAAGCTGTACAAATTGTCAAAAACTTCAACGTCTCAACGATGTTTTACAACGTAAACAATCTAAAATGAACCCGTTTCCTGATTTAATCGATCATCAAGGGAATATAATAAATCATCAGAATTTTGTTTGTGAGGACAGTGCCTTTAAGAAGAAAGCAATACACAAGTCACACTTTATGGACAGTTTCGTTCAAACAGATTTGTTGAATGATATTCCCGCAACTGATTTTATCCAAAAGGTTGATGTAGCTATTGACCCTATTGGTGGATACGATAACATCTCACCACATCTCCCGGTTGAAAATTGTAAATATGTTCAAACGGAACCATTCGTCATAGGTAAATTTTAGACGTTCAATCCTCCTGTTATTTGGTTTTTGTTATTTCATTTTACGGACTATATCTTTTGTTAAATTCTGCAGTCTGCTCAACCTGAAACATCCTGATCACGAATATGAATGTCCCATAATTAGAGAATTTAGTAGGCAATAAGAATTTAGTGATGACAATGATCGTTTGGTTTATACATTTTGTTGTAATTTTCCCTGTCGATAACTGCGGTGTATTGGATTTGAGCCTATTTACACGTATATGTATTCAGATTAAGTTTATACTCCAGTTATCATTTATTTGCATTTATCTTTACAAAGGAAAGAAATCAGAGTACTTGTGGTGTATGCTGCTTACGTCAACAGATATAAGTAGTATGTAACACGTATCAGAAGCCGGTGGATTTATTCGCCAATCGAAATACGACTTATTTAATCTTATCACTGCTAAACCAATGACGTTCGACCGGTATGAGCAGCCTAGCGTCCTTATTGGTCCTTTGTTCTTCTAGCCCGTCCAGTTGAATGCAGAAAGCCAATAACAGCTTCCACTATGTGAATCATTTATTTCGAACATACTTGGTTTATATACCAGCCAAACAGACCGCATCACACTATAAAATAGGAAATAACGTTTATACAAGTTGAAGCTAAAAAGTGGCTGTGAACGTGGGAGGCTGTAATCGATTAACTGAACATAACTTTAGAACAGTAAATCGTTTAATCATAATCTATAGGCCTAAATGAAGCTTGTAATAAGAGGAATATAGATATACATAATCTAGTTACTGAACAGTTATACAATAGGAATATATATATATATATATATCCTCACTAGGATATAACAGAATGCCTGTCAGCGTAAGATTGGGAAGATCGAATTGAAGAGAACAAGAATATAAAGAGAGTAATTGTGATAAGAACTGGAATAAAGGAACGGTGAAGTTTGTAAGAGAAAACTGATGGAAGATGTGCAAATGAAATATTTAATGTATGGTTTTCATATTTTACGAAGATACTCTGTAATTTTTGCATTCAACAATAAATTGGTCTTTCCCACCTGACTTCTCGTTAGCTACAACTAACGAAGTAGTATTTGGGTTAGGCATCAGAGTTTTAAGAATATTTTTAAGGATAATTAATCTATTGTTGTGCTACCTTTCATATTTAGGTGGTATGATGAGATTTCTCAGATGAACTGTTTCACTGGAAATTAATTGATCTTTGCTTTGTACATAGTTATCTTATAGTTATTATAGTTTTTGTTCTTATCTGTTTTGACTGGTGGTAGGCAATGACATAACTTCATGCGAAACTTCTTCATCTGGTGTAATTTTGGTTGATGGAAGTTTAAAACATGGTAGTGTAAACGAACCAAGCAACCTAAGTGAGGTTCAGTTAAATAACCTTCATGTATCCAATAAATCGGCACCAGTATCATTAATGGAAAACGACAATGAAGCCGCAATAAATAGTTATCGAAATTCAATGCTTCATTCAATTGGTGAATTAAAGCATGATAACTTGGTTAACCCGAGCCAAAGTGTTAATGAAGATTCGTTACATTCTCAGTTGTTACAGCGAATAAAAGTAGCTGAGGAGGAAGCGATTATGGCTATGGATCAGTTGAAGGCAAGTAATGCAGAGTTTCTTACTTTAAAAGAACGCTTATGTCATGCAACTGTAGAACGTGCACATTTAAAAGCAACCATTGAAGGATTGGATGAACAGGTTAGTTACGTTTTGTTAAAAGGATTTTTCTTTGAAGCATTTGATTTTATTGGTTGACATAATGAAACAACTTAACATTATTGTACATATATTTTACTCAGGTCGCGTTACTTGAAGACTCTTTGTATGAGCGTACACAGGAACTTCGTAGAAGTCAAATACTTCTTGGGAAATATTGTCCAACATCTCAAAAGCCTGTGGCATCATATTCTGTTGGACCTGAAGTACCGTAAGTTCTAATCATATGGTTATTTTATGAAGAAGCACCCTTTGTTATATCTTATGGTTATTTAGATTTTTTTACGTTCACCATTTAGTCCAATGAATATACTATACTATACTGTTTCTTTGGATAAAATTCTAGAAGATTTCCAGACAAAGTTTGACAAACACAAACTTCTAAGAATAGTTTCCTGTTTAAAAAATGCCGCCTGATAACTTCATTAGTTATGTTTATATTTGACTTGTATTTCAACTTCTCACTTACTACTATGTTGAACTGATAAGTGATGAACGAAAATCCCTTGTTAATCCACTTGAATTAAGGTGTTTTTGGACATTTCGTACACACCTAGACATTCTCTTCCTCTATGCACCACGTTTGGTAAATTGAAGTAAGAGTTTCATGTGGAATTATCACTGGGTTACTTGTTTAAGGGATTCATCAAGCTATGAAACCTAGATTATAATCTATTGGTCGATAGTAGTTGATGATTATGAACTTCTTGAATGGCATAAGTTATGATCGACTACACAGGTCCAAGAACATTTACTCTGATTTTCTCCAAATAGCAAATGTCGTGAGTTCGAATCCTGAGAGTGGGATCGTGGATGCGCACTGCTGAGGAGTCCCATACTAGGACGAAACGACCGTCCAGTGCTTCCAGGTTTTCCAAGGTGGTGTAGCTTTAATTGACTGATGAATTCAACTATTAAATTACTAAATATCCGATTATCCTGTACCTGTTTTCTTAATTTATTCTACTTCACTTAAGCCAGTCTTAAGATTTCCAATGGATATTCGTGATTCGTGAATTTCAGGAGCAAGTTTAAAAGTTTAGTAAGATGTTAGCTTCCAGTACATTTACACATCTGTACTACGTGTATATTATTGTATATAACTCAATGGCTTTTTTTTTAATACATTGAACTCTTGGACTCGAATCGTGTCACTAGTGCTTACACTAGAAATGTGAGTCGAAGCCACGTCTCTGAAGAAGTGGCTTGCACTGAGTCACGAAACGTCAGAAAATCTAATTCCTCTACTCATTGGGATATTATAAACATGTTATTTTTATTTCTAACAATCTACCCCATGCTCAATTTATTTGAAATGATCAAGTCGAACCTCGTTAATGATACTTGCAATACGTGTATTATGGTGTAGATCATATGAATATTTTCTTGCTTGTTATTTCTGTCTAGGACATCGGAAATATTTATTAAAATACATGAACCAAACAATAATTATACAGGCGAATCAGCAGTTGTTAATTTGAGAGGTGTTGTTCAATCTTTTGAACCTACAGAATCATTTCTACGTTCTGTTCCCATCAGATTTAAATCGTTACATCAATTAAGTAAGATTTTGTATTATGCTTACTGTATAACGTATTCTTCTTGTGCGAACTTGCTTTTAACTGAATAAATGTAATTTATATAACAGTTGTATTACGAGCAAAGAATATAGATTAATTTTTGTATGTTGTGTATGACTTTTATGTTGAGTGTACTATTATATTATCATTATTATGTTGAGACTGTCAGAAAAGTTTCAAGATCAATTGACTCATTGACCCAGTCAGTAGGTGATAAAAATTGTTCACTTTCAGGGTCTTAGTTCACTGAAGCATTTATATTACTAGTGTAGTGTAAAAACATGGTACTTCGATGTGTTACGTTTTTTGTGGGCCCCTTTATTTTGTCGTCATTTAGATTGGACGATGTTGTCGAAGGGCCCTCCACTTTAGTGGCCCGTGGATCTGACTCCAAATAGATCGCATGAATGGTTGTTATTGAATTGTATATGTCGCCTATCCTCGTATATAATCATTGACTTAAATCGCGTTAGTCAATAACGGAATTAAATAAGTCAAATAACGGGAATGGACTTTCGGATACATATATTTTGTATATGAAGCGAATGGAATAGAACGAAGCAAAACGACGCGCAGTGGAGATGGCGGGTAAGCCAACTCCCCTTTAGTCAAGCGTTAATCAATAATTATAGTTCCACAAAACTAAGTTACAGACATGTGATGAGTAATGGGATAAGAAGTGTACACACACCTACGCGCTCATATAAAAACAGTCAAGGTTGATAAGCGAATAATTAACAAGGTCAAAATATGACTCAAGTAGAATGAATAGATTGGGCTGTCCGAAAGCTAGAATAAGGTATATGGGCTTAACATAATAACAGACACTACACGTTTACTGAAATAGAATTTGTGATATTGAACGTTTCAGGAATCTTGCAGCCGTCCATAACATTGATCGTACTACCGGTTATATTGAATGTTTAGCTGCCTTTTTTAGTATTTAAGTTTATTCTCTTTTCAGGATTGTGCGTCTCATGTAACTTTGAATAGAACTAAAAGTTATTTTCTTTACTCAATAATACCATTTTATTTTTATTATCCTTATTTTTGTAGTTAACCTAAAGGATTGGCTATCTGTTTTATTGAAGCAGTTGGTTGTACGTAGTCAACAACTAACACCCGGAATGTCTAGTGGTATAAGATTTACTTCATTTCGTCTGCGAAGTCAACCTAGACCTAAAGCAATGTTTATATTCTTGACTTATTTCTTTTTTGTACATCTAATGCTATTACATTGTTGGTTATTGTAAGTATCTTTGTATTTTCTTCCTCTTTCTATCACTATTCTCTATTTCTCTGTACAATATTTCGCTTGATGTATTATTTTTAGTTCTGGTCTTTCTGATTATTTACTGTGAATTCTTTTTGTCAATAGCCATTATGATATGTCTCTACTTTCTTCCTATTCTTCATGATTTGATGTTACTATTTTATTTTTCTGCAAACCTGTGTTAATTTTCTTATTTATGGCAAATGAATTTCTCGATAAAATAAAATACATACTTATAAACATACTTGTAGTTTGTCTTTTCACTTGCTTTCCTGATGAATTTGTGTATGCATATTATTTATAAGACATATGTCTATTCGACTCGTCATGTGTGCATTTAGCATAAGATTGGTGTTTTCGTAATGGGTTTACACACCGAATCATTAGCGATGAATAAGGTTATTAAAATGGCATGTTCGCTCCAGTTGATGTTGCCGTAGTCCTTATAATAATGTTTTATGTTTTATACCAAGCGATCTGAAAATATCAATAATTACTGATTTTTAATTGTTTGCAGAATGAAGGATTAGAGATCAAGCTTGAGCAGTTGATTAGGTAATCTTCGTGTGAATACAGTTTCGTCATATTTTGGTAAATTGCCGTAATACGTAACATGTATTGTGTTATACCGTATAATGAAGGAGTTGTAATTTCTATTATTTGTATAAGCTAATCGGCGGCCTGCTTGAATATCTGGGCTACCTGTTCCCTCCCATCTAGATATTTCGTCAAGTTATCCGTTTTCGTGCGCGTTTACGAAAAGTTTACAACCTTTCGCTGTACGGATTACAAAAAGGTACAACCAGAGACATCATGGTGGCTTGTAATATGCTTTGAAACGAATGAACATTATTCAGATGTCGATTATCGAACTCCTAACATCTAATTGGCCAGCACTCAATATTTATCGTCAGGATCGATCAAGATATAAGCAAAAGAAACTTGTTAAAATACTTTATGCTGAGAATTCAATAGTGTACCACAAATATAATGTTGAATAAAGCATATAATAATAATAATAATAATAATAGCTAAAAAATTGCTGGACTGCTAATTAGATATTATCATTGTAGTTTAGTGGTTTGTGGTAAGATCTCTGAGAAGCGATCAATCCCATGTTTGTTTAGTTCTATAATTGTTGATCAAGTAGCATTGTAGCCACTAGTTTAGGTGAGTCGACAACGCATGCACTGTGTTGGAATGTTAAGCAGTGGTTGGAGGTATTTACACATCGAACATCTTTGTACTTCTAATCATATTGCTACAGAGTCTTAACAATCCTATTTGATGGTTTACCGTGTTTATGAACAAATATGCTTGAATAATGTAGGCATTTTCATCTAAATCTCTAGGAATACATGTAATAAGTTGTATTTTTGCTGTTTACCAATCTTTCGTAATCAATAACCATGCGTTATATTGTTGAATCTCAGTGAAACAGGAGATTGTAGGAGCAATTACATTTGCTGTATATTTATGCTATTGAGTCGCATCCGTTCAGCATGATCTTATCAATTCATTCAGTCTTTTGAAGTTCACAACTGAGTTTTTCATTTTAATTACAGTTTTATAAGGCTCATCACTATGTAGTAGGCTCTCGACACATGACCTAGTCTATCGGGATGTTCAGAACTAACCATGTGGATCAGACATATTTTCCTTGCACTTATACAGAACTGTTATTCTCTACGAATACGAAGTTGTAGTGTATTTCCTTTCAAACTGACAACATTAAGTAATGTCCTAAATGCGAACAAGTGCAAATTATCAGAAACCATAAAATGTCAATCTAATCCGTTGAAATCGTGTGACGAGATTCTTTCTATATATTAAGAAATTACATTCTAAAAGTCAATGTAACAGTTTGAATAATAATATTTAAGTATATGTGATATGTTTTTGATTAGAAAAGTGATCGATTTGTGGTTGATCACTTCAAATTAGACCTAAAATTACTTAGGAATCGGGTAATACAAGGCGAATACATATAGAAAGGGTTAAGTTACAATAGAACCAAGAATCTTAGATGGAGGTGAGTGATGTGAGCAAGCTTCGCCAGCCAAATTAACCATTTTCTTAGATTTTGCCTCTAACAATAGACAATGAGAAATTCTCCATGAACAATGACTACAAATCCAAACAATAAACCCTCGAATAACGACAAATTCCAACAGCCATCCACATGTCTACACTCTGTCTATTTCCTTCCAGATTACCAATCCATTCTGGAAGCCAAACGATCGAAGAAATCTAGATGGTCATCAGATTTATATTCGCTATATTCGAATAGAGAAAAAGAAGATAATAGTGACAATAGAATAATAATAAATCAGGTTCTGTGTAATTGAGAAGAATATCGAGTTGACTATGAAGAAGGAAAGGGAGAAAATAAGGGAACAGATATCAAGATGACGTGCCTTATTGTAACCCTCGCGTTATTAATAGAAGAAACCAGACTCGTAGGAAAATAGGTCTTTATTTTGATCTTCGCGCAGTCACAGTGGAGCGTGGGATTCCTTACTCAGACAAACAAAACCTCTCAACAAGCAATATAAGATAGATAGAAATATAACGCCTAAACAAAATAAAGTGAATAAATATCTGAACTATGCTGTTTCGATATATGCTTAGTTGCTTGAGATTAACTCTTGACAACCAACCTAAGCTGTTACATTAGCTTCCCCTTAGAATCGACTTCCGTAGGAACGTCGTTTCGATAACCTATTTATCAAAAGCATTTAAGTTCTGTTTCCGCAGTCCAAGGGAGGATTATCATTTCGCTCACTATGACTTCAAATCAATGACAATTCCATCGGTCCGTGGATGTCTTTATTTGCCATCTAATATTGTAGCATGCAATTTTTACTACACTATAGCTGACGGTTTGCTACGTGCTCGCAAGAGAAAGAGTTTGAGAAAATGAAACAAGAATGTCTGAGGAAGTGCCGCGAGCGGGCTACCCAACACCATGTTGGTGAGGTACGATTTTTCCATGCTCTGTCCGGCTATCAGGTGTTTACTCACCTGCCTCTCGAGTCGCCCTCAAGTAAAAAGTAAAGAAGAGTCTACTTCAAAGGTAATGATGAAAATCAACAAAACCTGAAGAACTGCTCCACTGTCTGCATAAAATAATAAGGTACAAAATGTAAATACATAAATATAGTTGATAATTATTCGGTTTCACTTGTTTTGCCTCGAGAAAAGATTGCTCGTCTGGAAGGAAATAGAAATAGTGTAGACATCTTGTGTACGAAAAAGTATAAACACAAAACAAGAAAAATACTCTTTTTCAATGCACATATATAAATGTGCGAACTTGCCAGAAGTCGGATTCCTTATTAAACCTAACCCAATGTATGACCTTAAGTCTATGGACTGTCTTCAAGACAAAAAAAACGTGTAAAGGACAGGGCCTACCAATTTGACAAAACTTATATAGGTGGGTTACCTGTCCACTCACGCAAGGCTCTCACAGATAAACAGGAAGAAGCTCACGCGTTTCAAATTGAAAGCATTAACTGCTTATACATGAACGCCGCTAGTCTACCAAATAAAATGGATGAACTAATTGAACTTAGCAACGCTAATAAAGTTCATCTGATAGGAATATCTGAAACTTGGATATCTCCTCAGTATTTGGACCAGGAGCTAGCAATACCTGGGATGTCTCTGTTTCGCAATGACAGAAAAACAGGAATTGGGGGTGGAGTAGCCCTATACATAAGATCTGGCCTGGTGGTACATCAAATCCACAACCACGAGTTTGACAATCTTGAGGAATCCCTATGGTGCTCTATGAGATTGTCCACTACTTCGAGGTGCTTAGTCGGAGTCATATATAGGAAGCCCACTGCCGACATCGAGTATGACAGTCGCATGCTGGAGGGACTATCCCGCTCTACGCGTCTCGGCTTCACTCATATCCTGATTCTAGGGGACTTCAATCTTCCTAGAGTCAACTTCGCGGAACATACGTATACTGGAGGTGAAAATTCAATCGAAGCTCGGTTCTTCAACCTCATTGAGGACTTGGGACTACACGAAAATGTGAAGTCGCACACTCGTTGGAGAAACGGTCAGACACCGTCGCGCTTAGACTGTGTTTTTACAAATGAAGAATTTCTAGTCGACAACCTCTCAATTCTGGCTCCCCTGGGGAAGAGCGATCACGCCGTTATAGCCTTCAGTTTCGTCAGCAAAACAGAGCTAAGATATCCCGACAACAACAGGCGCTGGAACTTCAAACGGTTGAATACGTCAGCTCTACAGGATTATCTACAACAGGTGGATTGGGATGTTCAACCTCAACTTGATGTGGATGCTCATTGGGACTCCTTACTGCGCACGCTCTCATGTGCTACTAAGCAGTCAGTTCCTCAAACGGTCCCCAAAAGGCACAAGCAACCTACAATCATCAAAAAACGCACTCTTCGTTTGCTAAGCCGTAAAAGGCACTGTTGGGCAGAATACAAACGAACCAACAACAACGGCGAGTACAGGCAATACAAACATATAAGGAACATATGTACGAAGGCTATAAGAGAAGACAGGCTTCAGTACCAGTTAAAGCTTATGGACAAATTTATTTCCAATCCGAAAAGCTTATTCCGTTATGCAGCCTCTCTTCGTCAAGCCAAAACTGGAGTTTCTCAACTGCTAGGTCCTAACGGCCCGACAGATAATGACGGTGACGCCGCTAACCTTCTGGCTGAGCACTACTCCCAGACATTTCAGCCGACCCACATCAACTATACTGATGTCGGCTCTGTCTGCAACTGCACAGGACTTTCCGTAGTGAAACTGAGTGCTGACTTGGTGTACCGTAAACTACAACACCTAAGAACAGACACTTCTCCTGGTCCAGATATGGTCCACTCTGCTATACTGAGGGAAGCAGCTTTAATCCTAGCAACACCGCTTAGCGTGATGTTCTCACACTCGCTAAGTCGGGGCAAACTACCGGATATTTGGAAGCTGGCT